TCAGCTTGCACAGTGTCAGCTCGCAAGCCACAGCAGGCTGTGGTTTGACCCAGTCAAGAACTGCAGGCTAAGAAGGTGTGAGTGACAGAGTGGTTGGCATGATCCGTGAGCTGGCAGCTATCTTTCAATTGCATATCTCCTGTAGATGGGTCCAGAGATAGATTAATTAACCCCCATGAGGACGGGCTCTTGTCTCTTAGTCACTGCCCTGTTCCATAGCTCAGTGCTTGGCCCACAGAAGGGCCCAATGAATATATTTATTGAATTAGTTTCTACCAGAGTGCATAAATATAGCTTGTGGGGCCAGGCACTGGTGGCTTAGACCTGCAATCCTAGCCACTTAGAGGCTCAGATCAGAAGGATGGTGGTTTCAAGGCTGGCCTGGGCAGAAAAGTACATGAGACCCACGTCTCAGCCCACAGCTGGGTGCGTGTCATGCCTCCCATCTCCAGCTACTTGGGGAGCTGATATTGGGGGAATCCAGGTAGAAAAGTCTGAGGTGCTTGGTATCCACAGAGGGACTTAAGACACAGTGGCACATACCTGTGACCCAGCAGCAGCAGGAATCAGAGTTTTGGTGCACAACAAGGCAGGAAGTAAAGTCCTGTCCTAAAAATAACAAGTGTAGTCAGGCGATGGTGGCTCATGCCTGTCATCATAGCTACTCAGGAGGCTGAGATCTCAGAATCACGGTTCAAAGCCAGCCCAGGCAGGATAGTCTATGAGACTCTGGTCTCTAATTAACTACCAAAAACTCAAGAAAGTGGTAGAATGCTAACCTTGAGCAAAAACGCTCAGGGAGAGCGCCCAGGTCCTGAGTTCAAGGCCCAGGACCATCAAACTAAAACAAAGCAAAAACTTAGTGAAAAACAGGGCTGGAGGTATGGCTCTGCAGTATTGCACCTCCTGACAAAGCAAGGCCAGATCTCCTACCGCCAGCACTGTCCCCTCATCCCCAATAGCCACGTGACTTTAAAACTCTTCCACACCTGTGTGATAGGTAGAAAAGGTAAACAGGAGGCAGGCAGACTCTTTTCACTCTTACAGGCTCTGTCCTTTACAGTTTCTAAGTTAGAGACACCTCCACCTAGTTCGTGTGTTAGAGCCACAAAGCTCCGCGGGAGACACGGGCAGACAGCCGCGTGCAGCGCCTCCTGTCATCCTCGGATGGAAGTCACAGGAAGAGAACAGTCGTGTTTCTTGACCAAGAGCACATAAAGTATAAATGGTTGAGTCAGGATACATTTTTCTCCAGAACTCCTTAACCCTGACGACTTTGAAATGCTTTGGGAATACACCCTATTGTGTGAACCACAAGAACGTGTCCAAGCAACACATAATGAGAAGAATCAGATGTATTCTTACCAAGAACTTTCTAAAATCCAAGTTCAGGGCCAGGAAACTCTGCAGAGGACAGCACAGGGGATCAGTGTGGGGATAAACAGGCCAGGATGCCCCCACACCCCACAGGGGGATGGGGAATGCCTAGACTTGGAAAGGAGGAAGTGTCCCTCACAAGAGGGTACCTTGAGCAAGAGCCTCCTTCTCTGTGAACATTGGTCTGTGAATAGGGACCACCGTGCTGTCTGCTGGGCTCAGAAGTTGTGCCAAAGGCTGTGTGTGCCAGGCAGCCTGGTAGAGTAGCAAGAACTTGTTCTCTGAAGATGCTTATGTGGTGTGGAGCCCCAGGGCCCTCGGCTACACTGGCTGCATGACTCAGAAGAATCTTGCCGGGCCCTGCCCTCTTGCTCTGGGAGGTATGTTTAGCAGCATGGCCCCTACCGTCAGGGAGGGGGAAACCAGTCACAGGATGCACGGAGTGTCTGGATCATCCCAGACTGTGCCTCAGATCCGACCCAGAAGCCCCAGCGGAAGTGGAGCCCACCCAGAGAGAAAGGCAGACAAATAGGTTATTCCTGACTCAGTCATCCCAGAAACTCGCCCGCCTCCCCAAAGTTGACACCCTATTTTACAGTAAAAATCCACGTTACGCAGCCGCTGGTTACTTTTTTATGGATAGAGCTTGTCCTTGGAGAATTTTCTCAGCCCAGTCTGCTCCAGTCCCCTTTGTGCTAAAAATAGTCTTGGATTTGAACCTTTGGCCCCCAGCAGCACTTCAAACGCTTAACAACAGGCAACGCCGTCGGGGCCCGTGGGCAACCCTCTTCGAAGCAAGTTGGCAGATGTAAGGACAGAGGCAGCCGGGCGGGAAGCAGAGAAGATGGCCGTCCACTGGCATCTGGGGGCAGGGGTCCTGTCACAAACCAGCCCTCCAGGGACACCAGCAGGAGGGGCAGAAGCAGGATTCAACTCCAGGGAGACAAGATGGTGCCAGCTGTGGCCTCTGAACCAGTGCAGGACTGCAGCGGGAGCAGCTGGACTCCTGGCAGGCCAGCGGTGCTGCTCCGGCGGATGAAGCCGCTTCTCAGGACACTGTGGGAAATCCTCCTCCCCAGAAAGCTCAGCCTCCCAGCCCCCACCTCCTCCGCCTTGCATGCTCATCAAAGGGAGTGGGAGGGTGAAGGTTAGGGTTAGGGTTAGGATCAGAGCAATCTTGGTTATCTTTTAAGTCCTGCTCTCTCACTTCAGGCAAGAAAACTTAAGAACTGGAGAACCAAAGGAAGAATCTCTGGGATTTGGACCCATGTGTCCTGATTTCTCTTGTATTCATCGAAGGAAATGTTAAAGGTATTAGAAGGAGGCATTCCCACTGCATTTTCTGGTGACCGCCATAACAAATGACTACAAACTGGATGCTGTAAAACTGCAGCAGTTCACGCCCTGGAAGTCTGGAGGCCAGGAGTTGGAATCAAAGTATGTGCTTCCCGTGTGGGCCCCGGAGAAGGCTTCCTACCCCTGGCAGCTCCTGGTGGCTCAGGGGCTTCCCAGCATCTCTTGGCATCTGTCCATCTCCACATTGGTTCTTCCAGCATCTCTCTGCTTCTGCCTCTGAAAGACCCTTTCCTTCCACCAAGTTCCCCTCTACCGCCTCCTTGTGGACAGGTCTTCATTCACCATTGCACAAGTTTCAGATGGCTTCCTCCTAAAAGAGATCGCTTAAATTCAGAATATAAAATCTAGAGTCACAGTGTCTATTCTGATGTAAGTGCTAAGTTCAGACCTGGAAATTTGGGATTTAATTGTGACAAAGCTCAGGATTTAGAACCAAATCACCACTTGACCTCCAAAGTCATCAAGAAGGTTTGACTTGGCCAACAGCACAGAAGACAGTTATATCTAAGAAATACTGTCCTTTGATGACGTTTATATTCCCTTCCCCTCCCCTTTTGTCCCCCCTCCTTCCACTGGTCTCTCTCCCTGAAGAGAACCTGTTTACATTACCATTCTTCCCTTTCCCTTCCTAGGTTCTGTACATGAGAGAGCACAGGCCATCTCTGGCTCATGTGGCCTAACAGGATCTCCGGTTCTACCCATTCTTCTATGGATGACGTGTAATGGCGGGCTAACACCCCATTGGGTACACGTGCGCCGTGTTTTCTTTACTCCTCAGCCATTGATGGGCACATTGGCTGATTCTGTATTTCAGCTGTGGTGGACAGTGCTACAGGAAACTGTTATGTTTGGATATATTTGCATGCCTTTGGCTATATGTCTAGGAATAGCCTTGTTGGAATTGTCCGAAGGGAGGGTTGGAGGAAGAGGGATCGAATTTGAGAGAACACATTATAGGCATGTGTGGAAGCATCACAGAGCATGGGTACATGTACAGATAACATGTCCTAATAAAAAATGCTCTAATACATTGCAGAGACTTTTATCCTGAAAGCCTGAATTGGTAGTTGTTTCAATGACCGAAAACAACCAGTATTTATCAAGTATTTATATGTGCCACGTGTTTCTTTTTCCTGGATTCTCTTGCTTAAACTTCAAAATAAATTCTCCAAGAAATGTACAATCATTTTAATTCAGACTGACAAAAATATTGGCCAGCCTATTTATTGCCTTGCTTACTTGAATGCATACCCCCATCCCACATAGCCACCCACCCTCCCAACCTATAGTGCTTGCATTGCCTTTATAGATATAGATGTATCACTAAGCAAAAATACTCAGATGTCATTTGCATGCGTTTGCATATTACATAAATTGTGTAATACCGTGAGACTTCTGAAGCTTCTTTTGCTCTTGGCTGTCGGAGGAGGGGCATGTCTATACTTTGGACTCTTTTTTTTTTCAATATTATTTTCACTGTGGCAGATTTTATCGTGTGAAAATGACCTGGCATATTCACCTGGGTCTTGTTTCTTGTTGCACATGCTACTGCTTGCCTTCCCCTCCGATCTGTGATGCAGAGAGTCTAATGTCCTTGGGGAAGGCCGTACCTCCTGGAGGAATCCTTCAGCCCTCATCCTTTCTGCCCCCTGAGCCTTTAGCATGAAACCTTTGAAAGGAGTCAGCAGGTGTGGCCTAACTGCAGATGGCACTCTAGAAATTCAAGTCCATTTTACCAGCATGCAGGTGAGTCATTCACTAAAGCTCCAGCTGCTTTCTCTCCACCACGACCAATAGCGCGCACCTGGTTCTTCTGGGGTTCTGGAGGGGACGCGGGCAGACGTGCTTTTCACTTCTCATATGAACGCTCATCCACTTCCAGAACTCACATCACGTGTTTGTCTTTATTCCTACCTCAGCTCTCCCTGCTGGGTTGAAAGGAACTGTGAGATTACAGTGGTTCGGAATTGCTTTTCATGATTGGGTTGAGATAATTCTCCCATGACTTGCTATGTCCTAGCTGGAAGAGAAAACTCCTTTAAAGTAAGTTTTTGGCATGCTTGGTTGTCATTTAGGTTTACTCCTAAGTACCTTATTCAGATTACACTTCAAAATTGTTTGAGTTGATTTTCTTTCTTTCTTTTTCCTGTGTATTCTATTTTTTATTATTTAAAAAGTGGAAAGTCATATTTTCATTGATAAATATCATTTGGTCCTTAGGTAGTTCTTTTGCAGAAATTTGAGTCCATAATTTTCAAGTGATGCTAGGACTGTATCAACCAAAGAGTTTCACACAGTTTCAATAACAGCAGCAATTTCCTTGAACTGTCTGTAAAAATTCTGAAACTGAGGAATTGTCATTTCAAAGGACTTGTTCTTTACTTGGCCAGAATGATCTGCCACTTTTATCATTAGGATACTTCAGTTATCTGCAGCTGTCTGAGCTCATAGCCATACTGAGTTTCCACTGAAAATCTATAAGCTGGCTGGTGACTTCAGATTTAGCATCTAGTACCGGCTCACTGCCCCCAGACTCCTCCATGGCAAAAGGCACGGTGCCCCCGCAGTGGTCTCTGAGTTGATTTTCTTTGAATATTAACTTTTGAACTCTTCATCCAACATGAATATTAATCTTTTCTCGATTAAGTACAATGCTAATGCCTTCGAGCCTAGAGCTTGCCCCTTCATCCATGCATGTTGCTTCAGACACATAGAAGCCTTCATTAAATAAAAACCTACTTTATCAGTCTGATGACTGTGATGGTTTTGCATCTTTCTTCATTGACCTGCAGATGTCACGTCTGTCATTGGTCATGTTTCCACATTTGCATAGGTTTCTCATCTCTGATCTGTTGGTTTCTCCCCCTATCAGTCTCTCCCTCTCGTACTAATTGTAGTTTTATTAGGAATTTAGGTTCTGGTGGCCTTCCCAGCTTGCCCTTTAAGTTTGTCTTGGGTACCTTCCTCCTTTGTTCTTCCAGATAGATTTTAGATTCAATTTGTCAAGTTCCAGTAGAATTATAGTTTTGACAGGGAAGGCATTGAATTTATAGATTAATTTGGAGGGTTATGACATTTTTATGATCAAATCTGGGAACATGGCATTTCTCCCCATTTATTAGTGTTTTTAAAAAAAATACCTTTCATCAAAGCATTACAGCATTTGCCATAAGCAATTGAACATAAATCGTGGAATTTAATCATAGGGACCTGATATTTCTTGTTGTAGTTCAGAGTTGGAATGCCCTCTTTGGGTCTATGTTGGAAGGTTGGCTCCTAATTCATGGTATTATTGGGAACATAAGGGTGTAGGACCTGTGGGAGGAAGCCAGATTGTTTGTGGTGTTCCTTTGAAGAGGCTGTTAGGACCAGGCCCTTCCTCTTCCTCTCTCTTTACTTCTTAGTCTCCACAAAGCAAACAAACCTCCTCTACCACATGCTCCCACCATAATGTGGGCCAATGACTGCAACCAATGCAACTGCTGCAACCACAGGTTCAACCTTCCCTCATTTTGAGTCAGTGAGCTCAGGAATTCTGTCATGGTGACACAAACCTTCCTCACTTTTGTACCTTTTCCAGGACAGTGCGTTATACTTATTGCTGGTAACTGGAATGCCACTTGCTTTTTGGATTGATTATCTATGCAAAAATATTCACTAACCTATGATTCTGTAAGTATTTATTTATTTATTTGTTTATTTATTTTTATTTTTTTGGTCTGGTCGTGGGGTCTGAACTCTGGTCCTGGGCACTGTCCTTCAGCTCTTCAGCTCAAGGCTAGCGCTCTACCACTTGAGCCACAGCGCCACTTCCAGCTTTTTTTCTTTTTGCTTATGTGGTGCTGAGGAATCGAACCCAGGGCCTCATGCATACAAGGCAAGCACTCTACCACTGAGCCACCTTCCCAGCCCCTCTGTAAGTTTTTTAATTAAGCACTTGTATTGTCTCCAAATAGTGATGGTTTTGCCTCGTCCTTAACATGATGCTACTTTGGTGGAGAATTTGGTCCTGATTTTAAAGAGAAATATTCTAATCTATTTGGAAGATAGCTTTTGTCAGTCTGTAGATTGTTATTATTATTGTTGTTATGAATGAGTATTGAATTTGGTCATATGTTTTCTTCTGCATCTATTAAAATGACAATATAGGTTTTTCTCCTCTATTCTGCTAATGTAGTATATTATATTGCAAGGAATTTCTTATATTAAATTATCCCTGAATGCCCTGGGAAATACCAATGTGTCTCTAATGTACTGCTTTTCTATGCCCTCCTAGTGTTGATTTTTAGATCAGGCTGTTCTGTTAACTTGCTCATAAATGAGATTTCCTTAACGAGGTATCAACATAAGATCTGTTTCACAAAGATTTGAGGGTTGTTCCCTGTGTCGCATTACTCAATTGTATAATATTTTTCTTCAACATTTCCATAAATACCTCCAAAAGGTGTTTGCCCTTGGTTTTCAGGAGCAGCTGGTGTGCAAGCAGCTCAGCACTAGTTCTCAACCTTGGGCTATCAAGGTCATGTGGTAAAGTACCCCAAAGTTCAGAAGGTTAGAATGTCATCACTGAGACAGAATAGCAGTGCAAAATCACTCCAGGGAGTCAAGATTTCTTTAGGCCTGTTGTTTCAGGGTGTCAGTTCACCATGGTGGGAACTGGTGAGGGGGAAGGGGGCACAGGACAGCTCACAAGGTGCCAGGAAGCAGAGCGGGATCCTGGACCAGCAGGCTTCTTTTGCCCCTTCTGCCTCATTCAGACAGACAGCCCCATTGGGTGGTACTGCCCACATTCATGGCATATCTCCTCATCCCTCCCTGCCCCTGCTTAGATAATTCTTCTGGAAGCATCCTCAAGGATGCACCCACAGTGTGCTTCACCTACCTCCTAGATCCTTCTCAACCCCATCAAGTTGATAGAGGACTAACCATCATCCCCCAATGAATCTCCTTCAGCCACAGCATTCCACCCTGCCCCCTTCCATGAGGATCACATCCAGCTCATAAAGCAAAATTTATGTGGTCCATCTCCAAGGGTCTTCAAAGTTTCATCACTGTCCAAGAGCCCTGGTTCAAAGTCATCTCTGACACTCAAGACAAATCTTTTTTTTTGGTCAGTCATGGGGCCTGAACTCTGGGCCTGGCCGCTGTCCCTCAGCTCTTCAGCTCAAGGCTAGCCCTCTACCACTTGAGCCACAGCGCCACTTCTGGCTTTTTTCTTTTTGCTTATGTGGTGCTGAGGAATCGAACCCAGGGCCTCATGCATGCAAGGCAAGCGCTCTACCACTGAGCCACCTTCCCAGCCCCTCAAGACAAATCTTTAGCTGTAAACTTTTGTAAAAAAATTAAAAAAAAAATTATCTGCTTCCAGTGTGTAGTGGGGAAGAGTATACATTTCCATCTCAAAAGGAAGAAATGGGATAATAGCAAGGGTGAATCAAACCAAAGCAAGACCAACTAACAAGGCAAACGTTAAGATCAGGGTCTGGCACCCAGGGCACACGGCACCTTCATGTGAGTTTCCGAGTGCTCAGAAGACCCTGCCTGATGGCCTTGCCATTTGCACCACCTTCAGTCTCTCTTGGGACAGCTCCACTCACTGCCTGCAGCTGGCCTTGGTAGACATTCTATGCTCCTTGAATTCTTCACTTCCAGGAGTCTCCATTGAATCATAGGCTTCATGTTCATGGCTTTCTTTCTCCATCACCACCAGGTTTCCTTTGAAATCTGGATGGAAGCCTCCATGCCCCTGTAACATGAATTTTTCATGCCTTCCAAACCAGCATCATATGGATGAAGCCAACATCTGCTGCAAGCTGGAGAATTAGCTGGGCTTTCTTAGACCATGGCTGCAGTAGCCTCTGAGTGTCTGGACTGCAAGTGTGATGAGATGAATTCTGGGAAAACAGTTCCTGCCGTGGCCATGTGTGAGCAAGCCGCTTCTGGAGGAACTCTCTTTTTTTGAGGGCAAATCTTTAAAATATGTTCAGTTTTGAACCTGTGATGGATGGAATCTACCAATTCTTGAGATGCCCTTGAAATATTTTTCTATTGTCCAGGTTAAAAATATTTGCTTTTTTTTCTATTGGCCCTAATCTTCTCAGCAGCCACATTTTTTTTTTGGCCCAATTTGATATACACTTCTTTTTGGCCAAATGGCAAGTTTTTCAAGCTTTTCTGCGCACAGATCTCACTGTGAGCTTAGCTAAAGGCACCCAGCAAACCCCATGCTGTAGTCTGAATGTGAGGTGCCTTGCAGTTTCCTACATGGAATTAACCAGTACATCAGACTCAATCTCACTCAAAGTCTCAGGGCACAGACAAACTCTGACAGAACTGTCTCCGGTTCAGGTACTGATGGAAGTCTAGCTTTCATCTCAGATTTGACAAGCCTCACTTTCTGTATTCCTGTTAGAATTCTGGTTTTTGGAGCTCCTATCAGAACATCTAACTTTATCTTACACCCCCCCCAAACGCTTCCAAATTCCTCCTACAAACCTGTTCCAAATGCTTAAGAACTGCCTCATCAAGTAGTCACAGCACACACCTCATCTCTCTGGTTCTAATCTGTGATAGTTGATTGCCATGACAGAGCACCAGAGCAAAACAACTTGAAGGAAGAAGGAAGAATTTCTTTTTGCTGGTGATTTCAAAGGTGACAGTCATTGTGGCTGAGAGGGTAGAGCAGGCAGCTTGGAAGCTGGTAGACGCTCTTCTGTTTCCTTTCTTTATTTCATCTAGACCCCCGGCCGTGGGATGCTGCCATCTTCATTGAGGTCAGGTCTTCCCTACCCAACTCATCTTTTTTGGATGAACTTTTGCAGACACATTCAAAGGTTCATTCCTAGTTGCTTCTTAACCCAGTCAACACTGTGTTATTGATTGTCAAGATTCACCATTTCCTGGAGGGTGGAAGGTCAGGACTGCTAGAGAAGCCTTCTTTTCCCTCCACCCAGCCTTGCCCGAGGCAGACAGATTTCCTCTGTATCATTGTTGTGTGCTATTCTGCATTTCATGTCTTATCCCTATACTGCTCTATTGCTGAGAATGCAGCTTCCAGAAGCCTACTGCCGACATGGTCTCAGATGGCACTCTTCCCAGGCCCTAGCCCATGGCTGACCTCTTTGGTGTGATTACAATGCATGCTTCTTGTTTGCTTTTACTGAGTTCAGCTAATGTGCCCAGGGTAGACATGCACCGGGCGCAGCCTGCCTTTCTTGTTTTCCACTCTCCCTTCTCTGTTGTGACCTCAGATGGGAAGGCACTGTGTCATCCAGAAGGTCTCCTGTTTTCAGGATATGCAGTCTGCCATATTGTTGAAAATTCCTCCCGTAGAGTTCCTGCTGACAGACAGGTGCGTGTGGCGCTGTGCGCTATGAAGCACTTGTCTGGCCTGGCCCAGCTAGGAAGTGGAGGTGCCTGAATACAGATTCAGGTGTCAGTGACCCCAAGATCAGTGCTCTCTGTTAAGTGTGCTGTTGCCTGCAACAGACAGAGCTGCCTTCAAATTCAGAAGTGCAAATGCCCTGCACTTCCAGCCCCATCTCGGCGCCAGGGCAGCTCTTTTAC